GACATATTTGCCCCTCTTCCTTCCTCCTATTTTCGCTCCGCCCCACATCCCTGCTTTTGCTTCTTTTCTGTTTGGATTAAAATTGAGACACGGTATATCAAGGGACATACTTTAAAGTGGGCATTTGTGTAGTTTAAACAAAAATGGGTTTTTTAATCAGTGATTTAAACAAAAAAAATCAACCTAAATTCCAAGAAAAAGACTCGGTCAAACGAGCACCGAGAAATCTCTCTAGTTTTTAAACTATTATTTAAACTGTTGATACATAAAATCATAATTTCAATGGGTTTTAAATCTTGAAAAATTACGATTATTATTTGTGAATATCTCAAAGACATGGGCTGGCCCTTAGACAATGAAATGCTTTGTAAATAGGCCGTGCCATCAATTTTACAAATTGTGCATGAGAAATCCATAGTATTTTGCAAGTATGCTTTAGATTCCATGTAATAACTGCAGCAGTTTAGCCATTATAAAAAGAGGATCAAACCATAAAAAGGAGGTTGAGCAGATGAACCCAAATGTGAATCTTTTTTTTACATCTGTGGCTTTTATATTCATTAGATAGCATTTGTGTAGCTTTAATTTCATTTAACCTTATAATCTTTAATATTTTGTAATTCTTTAGCATTATTCAAACATTTGTTATTCTACTCTTATATATTTTTTATATATGAGTAAACTGTAGTAGGAGAATTCAAAAACTCTTTGTTATTAATTAACACTCAGTGTTTCTAGTATACTTGATATTTTATTGATTCCGACCAATATTTTATTTCTCTAGTTTTTTGGTTAAATTTTATTTTCCGTACCAAAATTATTTCAAAGTTCAAAATATCTAAAACATGCTAGGAACCTTGGGTTTCGGCTAACATAGCAGCATTCTTGAGCTTGCTCAAGTTGCAGGATTGAATCATGCCTGTAAATGTTTCAATATTTGCCTACTCAAAATATATATATACATATATTTCCTTCATTAAAAAATATTTTTTAAAGAGTTGGATGTTAAAAAATATAAGACATTTTTAATCTTTTAAGATGTAATCATTGTATTTTTTTTTAAAATATTCCTATTAATAATAATTTTATATTTATTATAAGTTGTTTAATAAAAATAAATATAAAAAGATAAGACTAATTTAAAAGTAAGTAATTATTTTATTAAAGGATAAAATTTAATTAAAAATATTTTATATTTTTTAAAAAAGGAAGTATTTAAAACATGCCACGACGTCATTCCGAGAACATGCAGGACCCACAACGACGTAATTTTGCCTCCAAATGGCACACGACCCAACTGGCCGAGGCAAACTCGCCTGCCCAAGTGGATAATTGCATTTTTACATGCGCACCTTTGCTCCATTCATTCCAAACAAAATTACTATAAGGATTAATTAATTATTCAAGTGAATCTTTTTTCTCCCCAACAAATCTTATAACTTAATCCCGTATCCATCATTCAATTAATTTCCCTCTATTTCTTGCATCTATTCATTTTAAAATTAACAAATGAAAAAATTATTTATCTTCAGCACATCACTTGTTCAATCAATTTTTATATTCCAATCTATATAAATTTGTTGAATATATCTTTTAAGAATTTACCCGTTTTCCGAATATTATAAAAAGTTTAAAAAAAATGTGTACCAGAGTCGGTGACATCATGTGGCGAAGAAATTTGACTGAAGGAAACAAAAATTACATAAAACCAAAAGGGTCATATTCCTTTTGATTTATGTGTTTATAAATTTATGTTTTATATGGATACCAATATTTTCAAAATTGAACTGTATACTGAACCAAAAAGATCAATTATTCATGGTTCTTATAGTTTAATTAAGTTGGATTAATAATTAAACCAATGACATAATAATTAAATTAAAAAAATACATATGTATATAATAATTTAAATCTAAGAAATAAATATAAAATTGCTACTTAATTTAAAAATAAAACTAAATATTTTAAATTTATCATGACTTAACAAGTCATATGATACAATATAATATTAAATGATAAAAAATAGGTCTTTTTTAAAAAAAATAAATTTTTTAACAGCCCGGTTTTTTAAAAATCAAATTCAGTTTCCGACTTGATTTCGATTCTTGATCCAATTGTCGATCCAAAATGACCTAATCTGGCACAACCTCTAAAATTATTCTTACATATTAAACGAACTGAAATCTAAACCAATCAACTTAGGCTGATTGGTTCCATTCGATTTTTTAAATCACTGATGGATAGATTGATGCCGAGGGATGATTTTATAGCTAAAAAGAATAGAGATTCCCGCAATACGTTTCTTCTTCCAGAAGGTTTCTACCAATTATTTTTTGTTGGGTTAGAAGATGTAATATTCATTCGCTTCATGACTTTGAAGGTTAATATATTAATTTTATGGCATGGTCCTCCATCGATAGAGTGTGGGTTGTACGTAGAAGAGGATAGATGGTGAGAGAAAATGGAAGTTTTTCGTGTACTCCGCCGATTTGCTGCTGTCTTTTTCTTTATGTGTGGCTTTATGTAAACAGTGAGGAATATTAAAATGTATAAAAAACGAATGAAAAATTTTGTACAAAACCCAAATACGTCAAGTGTGACTGATTTATACCACAAATTAATTTTATATTTTACGTTAGTATATTGTAATGCAGTGATGATTTTATAACTTTGTTGGCCTGAGGTGATGATTTTAACCTTTCATTATTACTCAAAGAATACACAGTACAGACAACTGTTAAGCGTTTCTTCTTCTGGAAGCTTTCTCCCATATTTTTGTTTATTGGCGAGAATACAAGGCAATGATAAAGCAGATAAGCACGATAGCATGGTTAACTGTTGGTGCCGAAACAATAATCAATGTTTCAATTATTGATGATTATGTGTTTTTTCTGTGTAGTGCGTTCATTCTGTTGACCCCAGTGGCTCCGCTGTGCTTTTGGGTAACTAATTATTAAAAGCCTTAAATCCAATTAAGCCATCGCATTTACAGGCCTTTCCTCCTTAAAAAAGATTCAGATAATCATTTACTTTTTAAATTAATTGAAGATAAATATGAATCAGCACGATCAATTACCAATTAAAATAATAAACCCATTGATGGCTCCCACCTGCTCTAATCTTTTATTGCCCAACTTGTTCATTGATGACATCACCAAAAATCCCATCCTTTTTTCTTACCATTTCTTTGCCCTTTTCATCTCTTACCAGATTTGTTATAATGGCAACCAAGGTTAGTCAAACTTGCGAGACAGGAATATCAATTCAAATTATAAACTTAGATAATATACTTTATCTTTATTAATAAATATTTATTAAAAATATATGATTAAATAATTAAAATATAAAATATAATCATACTTTAATTTAAATATATTTTAAATACAAGTCATTGAAATTAAATTTATCTGCATTAACATATAATCATACCAAACAAAATTTTTTCATAATAGATTAATTAATTCTTGGTATTTTTTATTTTCTTTTTTATCAATATTAATTTTTGCTTTTTAAGTTTTTTTTTCTCTTTGAATCAGGTTCTATCACTTCTATGAATCGAGTTTTATATAATATATTCTTAACTCACTCATCAACTTGGTAAAAAATTGATGAGCTTAAAAAATTTAATTAAGTTTACATTTAGTTCAAATTTATGAATTGGTTGACATAATTTTAAAATATAGAAATATAAAAACAATAAATTTATGTATTTAATTAAGTTTGTATTTAATTAAAATTTATGAATAAGTTGATATAATTTTGTGAGCTAAAAACTCAAAATCGTTAGATTTGGAGAGTCAACCCGATAGTTTGACAACAATGATAGCAACTAAGTCTTAAAAAAATTAATTAATTTAATTTAAGTTTTAACTAATTTCAAAATACTAACAAAGCCCGGTACATTTTTTTGACAAATCTGGTTGTAGGAGAATTGACTTAAATACCCTTAAATTGAATACATGGTTAAAATTTAAAAAAAATGTAAAGCTATCAAAGGTAACTTTAACACTTCTCTGACATTTAACAGTAATTTCCTTTGATTTAGCAATGCATTTTTCAGTTTTATTAAAAAAATTTTACTTTTTTTTATTAGAGAAAATAGGAGCTAACGGCATGAGGTTAAAAATCGGCACTGCAACCCCCCACTTAGAAGGAGTTGACATGTTACTAGATTATAAAACCATTGGCTTCTCTAACAATTTACTAAATGAACCATCAAACATTCTAATTAACTAGTTATGAGTTGATCGAGTTTAATCAAATATATCTAATTTGAGCCTCGGATATATAATAACAATTAAATTTTTGGTGGGAGTTATGTCTTGTAAAGATGCGCTCACAAGTTACCAATTAGATTAGTTTTGATCAAAGATATGAGATACCGGGATGAAAGTTAAAAAAAAAAAAATCCCCAAGAAAAAAATGTATGCAATTGCTGAATCTAATCCTATCTAATATATAATATTTTTACCGTTAAAGAGATAAAATCCTACCATATAAAGGGTGAGTATAGTTGAGGGAGATTACTGGGGACAGAACATAGAGAATGATACCTTGTGCTTGCAGATTTGTGTCATTTCCTTTAAGAGAGGATCATATTCCTTTCCCTGCCCAAGATCACTGAAGCATATTTCTTAAGAATATAAATCACGGCCAACCACTAACTATGGTTACTTTTTTCCCCCCCTTTTCTTTTGTTTTTTGTGGGCTTTTCTTAAACTTGTCAATTCTCATCTCCCGGTCTCCCCTGAAGAGTGAAGATCGTCTAGATTCATTGGTGCCAAAACATTGCCAAATTTACATCAATGAACTGAAATCCACCGGCTCATCACAGAAGTTTCTAATCTCTGTTTTATTTTAATCCTAAATCCCCATTTAGGAATATGATTACTGGCAATTGGACGTTCCGTCATTAGCGGATTGATTTGAGGTCAAAACCGTAACTTACCACCCCGGCCCCATTTCCGGCCCTCTCACCCTTCAGCAATATCCTACACAACACAAGTAGCTCCAGGAAAAGAACACACCGGACAGATTCTTCGGAGATAAATCCAAGTCGCAGCCTTCGTTTAATTTCCAATCGCATTTGACTGTCTCTCCCTCTTTCCTCGAAAATCAATCGCGTGAACTTGTTGTAAATTCCCCTCTATTTAGGCTCTTTTCTTTCTATACCTCTGTTCTAAAAAATCTGTATATACATCCCTGTTCATTTTCTTCCTCATGCTTCTCAAATCGGCGCTGGATCTTTAAATTGTTCAAATTTGTTGCTGTACAGACACATATCAAATTGTCTGTCTGCTTCTTTTCTGGCAGTGGGTTTTACAAAACTGTCCATAGGCGTAGAAAAGAAGAAGTCTTTGTCGCTGAAAATCATTGCAGCTTGAAGAAATTGCTTGTGTGTTTCCGGGGAGAAATTAAATAGTTTGCTGATTCATATATTTGACTTTATATTTTTTTAAAGAATTATATTTATTGTTAGTTTGGGATCACAAACCAGTCATATTAGGCGAAGCGAAGAAGAAACATGACGGTGTCTACTATAGCTTTATGTGCTAGCCCACCGAGCAGTGTGTGCTCCACTGCGCACCCTTGCCATATCAACACCTATGCATCATACGATTTCGACTTGGGTTCGCGATCGTCCTCATCGTCGTCTTCCACGACGGCGTCCACATCTCAGAAACCGGGAATGAGTGGCCTCTCGTGCTTATTCTCCTCGCCGACGGTGAAGCCCGTTCCTTTGTCGAGCTTTTCCGGTGGCGGAGAGGAATTGGGTTCTTTGTCTGAATTGAAGGAGCTGAGCAGCTCCTTTTCCTATTCGCCGAGCAAATTTGTTGGATCTTCTTGGAAAAGAGATCAGAGCCCCGTTTCGGTATTCCAAGGACCCGTTTCATGTAGTAGCAGTAGCGTTTCTGGTTCCGCAAGGAGTTCCCCAATGAGGATCGGAGGCGATAGCTCGATTCGATGTCGGGACAGTGGATTGTTAGATGGCTTTGTGAGAAATTCATTGGGTTCATGCTTGGATTACAATTCGCGAAGTTTCGAGTTTCGTGGTGGTGTCTTAGATTTGGGTTCTTCATCTTCCATAGCGGATGAACTGACCTTTAATTTGGAGGATTCTTTTGTCGGGGTAACTTTCGAGCCGTACGCTAGAGAATTGCTTGTGGGTGCCCAGTTGAAACACAAGATCTTTTGTGAAGAATTCGTCATTAAGGCTTTCTGCGAAGCCGAGAGAGCGCATAGAGGGCAGGTAAATTAATCGAAATACATCATTTTTATGCATGGATCATATGGTTTGTGGTTATATTGTTGTGAGTTGAAAGATTTTGAATATTTCTATGTAGATGCGAGCTTCTGGTGATCCATATTTGCAGCATTGTGTTGAAACAGCTGTTCTGCTTGCTCTGATTGGTGCCAATTCCACAGTTTTGGCTGCAGGGCTTTTGCACGATTCACTTGATGACTCGTTTTTGACTTACGATTACATCTTTGGGGTTTTTGGCGCTGGGGTTGCTGATTTAGTTGAAGGGGTGAGGAGAATATCTCTTGAGATGTAAATCAATCTGGTGTTCGTTAAATTTTGTTCCGAATTTGCATTGAATTTGATATTGGATGTTCATCTTAAATAATCCTTCTCTTAATCTCCACTCATTAAGCAAGTTCTTAAAAAGTGTTATTTTTTATTTTCATTGTCTCATTTTCATGATCATTGTAGCTTGAGTTTCTAATAGCCTGGTGACATTACTTTTCAACTTGTGAATCAAATCACTGTTTATCCTCCTGTATGATAGCGCAGAATTTTCTGTTCATCTCGCATTCTATGAACAGCGTTGATGATTTATTATCTGTTCTGTTGCTTGCAATTGAGGAATCTATACTGAAAATTGCCCGTAGCTGTTATGCATGTAATGAATTTTGAATGTTGAGTGTCTGATCCCTCGAGAGTTCTTTCTAATTTCTCTATGGTATTTTAGGTTTCTAAGCTAAGTCACTTGAGCAAGCTTGCACGAGAGAACAATACAGCCAGCAAGTCAGTTGAGGCGGATCGGCTGCATACCATGTTCCTTGCCATGGTTGATGCAAGAGCTGTTCTCATCAAATTGGCAGATCGCTTGCACAATATGATGACACTAGATGCTCTGCCAGTGGCCAAGCGGCAAAGGTTTGCGAAGGAGACCTTGGAGATTTTTGCACCTTTGGCCAATCGATTGGGAATATCTAGTTGGAAGGAGCAATTGGAGAACTTGTGTTTCAAGCATCTCAATCCAGAACAGCATCAGGAAATTTCTTCAAAGCTTGTGGAATCATTCGATGATGCAATGATCACTTCTGCTATAGAGAAATTAGAGCAAGCACTTAAAGATGAGGGAATTTCTTACCATGTCCTTTCTGGGCGGCACAAGAGCCTGTATAGCATTTATTGCAAAATGCTGAAGTACGTACCACCTCTCCCTTAATTTGTTTTGTACTTGCTACTTGCGGCAGAGTATGAGCGAAGGATTCTCAAATGTTTATTGATGCATGTATATACTTGCAGGAAAAAGCTAACCATGAATGACATTCATGATATTTATGGGCTGCGCCTGATTGTTGACAAGGAGGAGGACTGTTATAAAGCCTTGACAGTTGTTCACTGGTTATGGTCTGAGGTACCTGGAAAGTTCAAAGACTACATTCAACATCCTAAGTTCAATGGGTATGTAATAGGTAACTTAGGATCGGTTCTCTGAAGTCTAAACTTGCATTTGGTTATCCATATTTTGTCTGATTCTTTCATTTTGTGACTATAGGTATAAATCTCTGCATGCTGTTGTGATGGGTGAAGGCAAGCTTCCCCTTGAAGTACAAATCCGGACAAAAGAGATGCATCTGCAAGCAGAATTTGGATTTGCTGCTCATTGGAGATACAAGGAAGGTGATTGCCAGCATTCTTCATTTGTGCTTCAGATGGTTGAGTGGGCTCGATGGGTTGTCACCTGGCATTGTGAGACAATGAATAAAGATTGTTCGGCTGTGGGATGTGCCGATTCAATCAAGCCGCCATGCAAGTTCCCTTCCCATGCTGATGATTGCCCACATTCTTACAAGCCCCATTGTGGTCAGGATGGCCCTGTGTTCATCATCTTGATCGAGAATGATAAGGTTTGTGTCACATATTTACACACCTGAATTCCATGTTTTATTTTCTGGCCAGGTTTTGATTTTTAGAACTTTTTAGGTTTCTTGCACAGTATGATAAGGTTTTATTTGCTTACAACGTCCTATCATGTAAATAGTTTGTACTCATTGTGCCTGTCTTGGCGTGTACACATGCAGATGTCAGTCCAAGAGTTTCCTGCAAACTCGACGGTGATGGACTTGCTGGAAAGAGCTGGGCGAGGAAGCTCTAAATGGACCCCATACAGATTTCCATTGAAAGAAGAACTAAGGCCAAGACTGAACTATGACCCTGTGAGTGATCCCAAGTGTAAGTTGAATATGGGAGATGTGGTGGAGCTTACACCTGCCATACCTGACAAGTCTCTGACAGAATATAGGGAAGAAATCCAGCGTATGTATAATAGACAGTTAACTGTACCTGCACCTGCTTCAACTGGCATGGTTGGCTCAAGAAGCTGACCGTTGTTTGGTTTTAACATGACAAAGATACTATAGTTAGCGACACTTAATTGCACAAATGCATATTTGTACAGAACACCTCTATTTTTCCGCCATCAACTCGCTAACTTCGATTCAATGATAATGCTCCGGATGATTGAGGGCACATGCTCATTGTTCACTCGCATCTTCACATTTAATGTCAAAGAAATCGATTTGGTTGACAGAGAGAAAGCGAAGATAATGAGATCCTCTGAAAATCTAGGGCGGTTGAGCTCCGTTTGTTAAGATCGAAAAGCCAGTGTGTCCTCTTCTGGGAGGCAATGTAAAGCTAATTCTAAGATTATATTACAATCAAGAGAGTTGGTAAGATAAAATTTATTTTTTATTTTTTGTTAATAACAAAATAACTTTGTTTACATTTTTTAACCTAAATTGTTATGCTCTTTTCCCACCCAAAAAAAAAACAAAAAAACAAAAGACCTGTTAGGCCATGCTGAATAATGCTCAAGCAGAAAGCCTTGAGCAGTTGTTTATAATTTGAGGCTTTTAGGTTGAAGGAAGAAAGCCCAGTAAAGGAAAGTCCATTTTTTGTTAAGAAGTGGGGTTTTTTAGCCCAAAAAAGCAAAGAACTGAGTTTGAAAAGCTGAGGCAAATGTTCCGAACAACATATCCCAGATCCTTGGGCTTCCATCTCATCTCTTTCACTGAAATGGAACAATTAAGTGCAAAGCAACTTGACTTGAGAAACTTTTTTTTTTTTTTGAAATACAAGATCACGATAAAACCACTTGAAAAACTCATTTATGAGATCACCAGTGCGCGGAGGGGTGAAGATTGAATTTACAGATTGACTTTTTTGAGCCAACTCACCGACAAGAAGTTAATCTCCACATTAATGTGGAAAATTAATTACTTAGTGTATACTAAAAATGTGAAGTTTCATTGTCACAACCATGTCCGTTATGTAAGCGAGTTAGTGATCTCCATTAAAATTGATGCAGCAGTGAAACGGTAAATAGATTCTGGACTTGCTTGGACCGTGTCATATGAACTTCAATTCAGCACTCTGAACGAAGACTATTCACGGGGGCCAATATTCACAGCTTTAATTTTTCATTAAGCATGTTCACCAAGTGTACACAATCCCAAAGGTTGTGTTAAAGCCATGGTCATGTCCAATGACAAAGCAGACTCAGTTTTGAGTAAATTACGCCACACAACACAAGAGCGAGCCTTTACACTGGATTTGATCCTATCGTATCTTTCTTACGTTAGATTGCAATATTGGACTTTCATTGACTGGGTCAAAAATGCCTTTGATGCAAAATGAATGCTCATGACCCACCCCTGCTAGCTGGCTTCCTCTACACTCTATAGCTTCTGCAGTAACACTGTTTTTAACAGTTTCAACTTTGAAACGCGTCCGCAGTTTATTGCCGTTCTGTCTTTGAGATTCTTTGCAAGGGAGAAAAAGATAGTCTGCTTGCTTGGTACCTCCCTGTCACAGGAACCTAATACAGACAACCAAGTATAAATGCTTCAAGCTCGTTTAATGACACCAAAAAATAATTTACGTGAAAAAATAGCTTTGAAACAGCGAATCAATGTCAAAGAGTCGTACATGTTGTGCTTGCATATACATATGTACACACACTCTATAAAGGCAAAAGTTAGTTGACTTGTGATAGGAACCAAGTGAACCTAGAGACAAAAATTCACAGCTTGTAGGTGAGGAGCACATGCGGTTAAAGTCTTTTAGGCAGCCTAGCTGGCTAGGAAAGAGTAGCCACATTAAAAACCCTAGGACTAACCCGTCACCATGCCCTAAAAAGCAAACTTTACTCATTCCACAAACAGAACGATATGAGTTTTATATATTAAGATGATGATGGGCATCCAGGAAAAGCCCTCCTTTGCCAACCGCAAGCAGACCAACTGTTAATTAAATGGACTTGGATGGTAATGTGTTGATAATAACTTTCTGGTAACTCGTATTACATGTTATCATCCAAATTATGTTTAAGGAGTTTCGAAGTCCTTTCATTTGACTCATCCATCATTGTTGGTACTAAGATGCCATGTTACTTTTAAAAAGCTAGCAACATCAAGGACTGATGAAAACAAAAAAATGATGATGGCTGAAATATAATGAGAACTTATAGAGAATAATTTCTCGTAACCCCAACTCTTATGTCTCGTATACTCCACAGAGAAAGTGATGAGAGAATCAGAAAAAATACCGTTGAGTTTTTATATATTACACACATATCCCTGCTTTTCTCTGGCAGTTCCACACGCAGAGTCATCGACCATGAATAAGGTTTATCCCATATCCTGATTATATATCCAATTTCTCCACGATAAGGAATGAGAAGGGGAAGCAATATTTTCCGTACACAAAATAGTATGCCGATGTGACGTCACATAGAAGGTGATGCACGGCCTGTGTAGAAATGTAAACGTGGAAGCAAAAAAAAAAAAAAACCAAAGAACTAGGAGACAACGGCACTTGTGATAAGCCGTAGAAAGGTTCAACACTTTTGACTTAACGTTTTTGAATTCGAATTTGGAAATAAAACAAATCATAGAAGAGTTTGCATGATTAATTAAGCTGATATTTAGAGTTTAGTATTGTCACCAACTTGCATGGGTCGTAATAGATTAATGTAATGCAGTCACATAAAAATGACATATCGAGTTCGAGTGTATGAATCCATGTGAATATACATAAAACACTTTTGAAATCTTCAATTGAGTATGATAATATTTACATTTAATATCATCTTAAAAAAGAAAAAAAAGAATTGAGGGAAAGAGAGAGATGGAGCTAAGTGTAGGGAAATGAATGAAGGTGGCGGAGGGAAGGACAGAGTTTTATTACTTTCCTTACCTGACACCTCCTGCCCACTCCTTTCACTTCCCAACTTAATTACAAACAAACAAATTCTACTTCCTGTCTCCTTTATTTAGCCATCAGTTTCTAACATGTTTTCATTAAAATTCAGGAAAATCACGATCACATGCCATTGAGCACGATTATTTGCTTTGCAAGATTAAAATAATTTTGATATTACGCTATCGAATTAAAAGATTTAAATATAATCCCTCATATATGTTATTTGTATTGAGAAAATTAATTATTGTTAAAATGTAAATAATTTTTTAATACAAATTTATTTACTAAATTATAGTATTTATTTCTCCCCATCACCAAGTTAATTTTTAGAATTATTAATAAAAAATTGATTATTACTAAAATGAAATTAGAATTGTTTTATTTTTTTTAATAGAGACTTGTTATTAAAAGAGTATATATAATTATGTGAGGATAATTTTATCTTTTCACAGTAAATTTTAATTACATTTAAGTCTTTTGATCTTACAAAATAAATATTAAAATTATTTAATCACGTAGAGTAATTAATTGTTTCTAATGATCTTTAATTGTGATTTTTTCTTAAAACTTCAGTTGAGTTGGGTCTTAGTAACTTGCTTGGACCAATACATGTTTTTAAGCTCACAATTACAAATTACAAAGTTCTCATACTGGTAGTGCGATTTAAAATCATGACTTTGTGGGTCATTAACCAAATCATTATTAACTGAGCAAAATTTTATTGGTTAACCATCTCTCTAACTCCCTTCCTTCCTTCCGAAACATAATAATCATTCTCATATTACTAAAATAAACTCCAAATTAAGCCATCAGCACTTTTATTACTTTCCTGATTGAAGTGCTCGTTTCCCTTATTGAACCACAAAAACCTACTAATAATTTGCTCATGACCTAATCACCAAAATGTTTACGTGGCAACCTTCTGGTTCTGGTTAAAAGGGGATCGTGTTGAATGTGCAAACTTGCGGGAGGTTATGATGAGCAAACTAGAACCACATCTACTTTATAATAAATTAATGAACAACATTGCTGGAAAATTAGGAGCGAAACGCATCAGTTATTGCCAACCAAAACAAACAAAAACCAAAAAGATTGTACAAAAGATAACTGAATTGTATAAACATTATTTCTTTGTAACTTCGAAATTCATGTTGGGTAATTTAAAATTTGTTTTTTAGAAACACTGACTAATTTTGATTGAACTTTTTAATTTATGTAAAGTTACTACTGATAAGTTCTTGTAATAATAAAGTAATAATGTAATATACCAACAATGTGACTATTTTTAAAAGAAAAAATAATAATAAAATCTTTTTAAAATATATAAATGACAATTTAATTACTCAAAATATTATAATTTTTCTGAAGTCTTTAAAAACTTTTTTGTCATTAATGAATTTATATAAATTATTAAATTACCCTTGTTGAAAATAAATGATTCACAACTTTTCTTTTTATATTTACAACTTTTGTTTTTAATTCGCAACAATGCAACAGTAAATCATAATTTTGCATGTTAAATTTTTTATTTATTATTACATTATTATAAATATAAAAAAAAGTTGTACATATAAAAAAATTGTGAATTATTTTTTTAATAAGAATAATTTAATAATTTATATAAATTTATTAATAATAAAAAACTCCTTAAAAATTCAAAAAAATTTATAGTATTTTAAACAATTAAATTATTATTTATATATTTAAAAAATATTTTATTATTATTATTTTTTTAAAATGTCTTCAAATATCCAAAATTTCATTAGTATAAAGGCAAACCTTGCTGTAGTCTGTAGTGTCTTGAAGCCGAGGAGCTTACGCTTCAAACATAATCAGATGACACTATTTTCCAGGACGTAATATGAAGAGACAGCAAACCCAAAGGTGCATGGTCCTCCTTTATTTGAATTTTATTAATTTTGCTTTCTTACGTTTTGTTCACTTATTTATGGATTTTTGCAAACATGTCAGAGACTACGGCAGCAGCGGCAGGACAAAGAGACAAAACCCATTAGATGTTCAGTCACTATAACTTACAAGAGCAAGAGCGCACTCACACTCTCACTCACCCGCTCACAAAGCCCAGCAGTAGTATGTCATCAGGGAGCCATTAGTCTCGACTCTTATCCATGCACAGGAAGAAGATTCTTAGCCAATGACTCCCTCAAATAAGCCCTTCACTTCAGAAACAAAAAGAAATCCATGTCCTTTTTGTCTTTGAAATCTCTCGAGTTCTGCTTCATCACTGCATAGTTACAATATATATT